ATACGTACGTATACCAAAAGTTAAAAGAAGAAATCTTTCAGTCACATAAGACAACATACATTTCGAATCTATTGTGCTATTTGTATTCCTCTTGAGAGAAAGAGAGAGAGAGAGAGAGAGAGAAGAGAGAGAGACGTAGAGAGAGAGAGAGGGAGAGAGAGGGAAGGAGAGGGATATATATATATATATGATTTTTGGTATGCCACAATCCTCAATCTTTCTTGGGAGTGTGACCCTTTGGATTGGGCTTTTAGGATGGAGTTGGAAGCTGGTCATTTGGACACTGATAAACATTAAGGATTCAATATCAGATTTCAACCACATGACGATCCCTAATGAGAATGCAAAAATTAGTCTGCTGCTACAAGATTTCGTGAGTTGAGAAAGGTTTTGCATACACACTTCAATCCCTTAACAAATTCCAGCTGTATTTTCGCTTTAATTTCTGTGTGCACGACCACCTTGGGTTGATGAATCCCTAGGTATTTGTCAACGGCGTGTTTTTCATGTACGCGTAACGTTTCGTGACTCACCTGCGTAATATATATATATATATATATATATATATATATATATATATATATATATAGAGAGAGAGAGAGAGAGAGAGAGAGAGAGAGAGAGAGAGAGAGAATTGCTTACCCAAACTAAGCGCTTCACCACACGCCACTGGTATTTGTAGAGCGTGTAGTCTCTCCTGATATGATTTCGTGATCTATTGTACTGGCGAGTTTACCTTTATTGATGCTTCGGATATTACATTTCCAAAACCAAACTGCATTCCCATGTCGGGGAGAATCTTTCGGTGACATCTGAGGCGGCTGGTAGTCTTACGATTAGGGCGTGCAACGCCTTTTTCTATCCCCTTTCCACCCTCTCTCTTCTCTCACTCACATACACATGATCATACAAACAGGCATACATTACAAGTATGCACATTCATATTATAAATAATAACAAACACAAGGAATCTTATGAAGTTTGATAGTGTGCTGAAGTGTTCCTTTTATCAGCAATGAGGTTTGACTGCATTTCTTTTCACAACATTCACTTCGACTTCGCTCGGCAAGGACCCCTCCCAAATATTTACGACTTGAGTCGGGTTACCGCATGACTCGGCACGTTCCAAAACGGTTTTTCAAAGGAGGTCAAGAGTTCAATTTTACAAATTGATTCGAAACTCTTTTACTAGCATTTTTTGCTAAAGAGTTTATTCCTTAAACTCGCTGTACAAATGTACAAGTTTCTATATCCAATACTAAATAATCTGGAATGTTTGCCGTACACACTGTATGACGAAACACAAAGTCTGTGACGTTTCAGTAAACGCTATTCCTCTGCAGCAATTTTGTCTATTAATTTTTCATTGATGTAATTTTAATATTTTCGATGGCATTCATTGTTAGTTGCACTAACACACTTGACAGAACTTCGGTTTTTCAAAACGCAATACTACATACGTAGCCTACTACATACGTTTACAAAATACATGAGGGTTTTTACATTCTTCGGAATGAATTTGTAAATGCAACTCGCTTTGAACATACGAAAATGTACATATGACATCCGATTAACACAATACTTATGAACGCAACAGTGCACGGCAATGCGTTCGCTTTTCGCGCGCTAGGGAATAATGCTTTGGAAAACACGAGAGCTCATTTATGCGGAGACATATCCCACACTTTCTTCGTTCAGTGTCACGCTTACTTGCCTTAAAAAGTTGTGCTATCTTTGAGACATGTCAAGACACTCGCAGAGATCGCTACTGCGGCTGCGCAGTAAAATTCGCATGGTACGCAGAGTGCTCCTACCATCCATAAGCCTCTATCCCCTGGAGCCCCGCGGCAGACCTCGATCCCGTTTTCGCGCGTTTTGAAATACGTTTCGCAAACGCTCTGAGAAGACATGTATTCCCCTCTTGTTAAGAGATTTTTAAGAGACATTGCACCGAATTAATTTGGGTGTGCACATGCGAATACCCACGAGCCGCCACTGGGAGACACATGGGCTGCACAGGTCCCTGTAAGTTTCTAAGTACACTATATATCGTCTATGTACGCTAGATGACTTACATTATATTTCCCTATGCATTCCAGTTCATGGTGGTGGTTCTGTTCAGTGGCGGCTGGTGCCCGAACAAACACCATCTCCATCGAATGACGGAAATGTAATTTCCGAAATTCAAAACACTAATGTATAATACAATAGCAATTCATGTACATTAATTAAAATTTGTTTGATAAAACTCTGTATTGAAATATTATTTGCATGTTTTTACGCGTACTGCCCGTGTCAGGTATTTTCACCACCCGGGAAAGTATTTATGGCTTTGATTTCTAGTGTTGTGCAAGCACTTTTATTTGGTTACTTTTATACAAATAAAATTATTTTATTTCGAAAACTTCACTACTCTGGTGTATATTGCAATAATTAAAGATCTACACTGACACGCATTCACACGAACGCTAGCAAACTACGGGTCGGCCAGCAGCAGGCAGGCTGCCTTGCTTCCCGCGGGACCCAAAGAACTCATCAAATGTACGTTTTGAATTCAACAAACCTAATAAAAAATGAAAACAAATTCTCGAAATAATATAAACAGTGCATTGAATAATATCAATAATTGACTGAACTTGTATACTTTCAATAACTTGCGAAATCCATAAAATTAAGTTGAAGCTAGTCGGACGAAAACAGAATATTGGTATTCCCTTCAGACTACCTCGGACGCTGCGCAGGGCTCGGAAACAAGATTTCGCCACCAAAGGCATATTGTTCACCCGCATTAGAGCGAAGGGCCAAAGAGTAAATGCAGTAAAGCCAGGAACAGAGCCAAGAGCATAGTGCAATACTTGCGAGTCACCAAACGCCGGAGAGAGAGATAATTAGACGCTATATTTTCAAAGTGATTCCGTATTCCTCAATATTGCTTAAATTTCTTGAATATTGAGTGTCATTAAAAGGAAAATGTATATTCCTAAATATTATAAGATCATTTTCACTTCTCTAAGAGTTATGCACGAGCAGCCAATGCAGTTCATACCCTACTCCCACGTTTTCAACAAAAGGGAGAGGGGATTCGAAGCAAGACAAAACCAATAAGGACTGAGAATATCGCCCTGAAATATCCTTTATGTCTTAGAATCTCAATATCTTGGAGACGATTCTTTCATTATTTGACATTGTTTGCTAGTTATAGCGCACATCAGAAATTTTAAGATATCATGGTTTAACACCATACATTTTGAAAACACCAGCAACCTGTCACGTGGTACCATGTCAAATGCCTTCTTGCAGTCAATTAAAAGGGTATGGAGATCGCCCTTTTTGTTAGTCGCCCGAGATATGATATTGTCGATCACAAACAGCTCCTCGCATCCCAACGAATCCGTGGAACAGCCTTTCTGGTTCTTCAAGAGAAAATTGCATTGAGCCATGTGCAGATCGCAATTGCCCGGCGTCTGTGGCATCCCTTTTGGCTTTACGAATTGGATTCCCTGGCACCGAGCCGTTTGTATTTCTTCAGAGTATTAGAGATTATCATTTATGAGAACCAGAACGTTTTCGTGTAGATAGGTCATACTTTAATCCATAAATTACGAAGCTGATCTGGACCAGAGCATTCCCAATTCTGCAATAATTATTAATTTTTAACTTTTGGGGGGGGGGGAATGCCTTATGTACAATCGAGGATAAAGATAGGCCGGATAGGCCATCCCTGGTAAAGAGCGGGACCCTCCCCATTAAAAATACCTTCTCTTGTGCCCATGCGGGTTGGCGTGAGACATAACTTCATTGAGAGTCGGGCAATTTCTCTGCAATTCCAAATTTCTTATTGTTTCGTTTCTCCCCAACTTAGATTTCAGATTCCAAGAAAAATCCAAAACAATTTTCATCACACAATTATTTTTAAGTTGGTTTAGTTGTCATTCTCCTCTCAAACTAAGTGTTAGCTTGTCAGAACTGCTGTGAAAAATTGTATTTATTATGCAAGCAAGTTTTTAAAGTGTGTATTACAGAAGTCTTGGTTCTCTTGAGATTCTTTGGCTTTTGCAAGACATTTCGTGATGTTTCGAAAGGAAACAAAAACTAGTGGTGCTACAGAGTGGTACAGACTTTCCCATATTAGTTTTCTATTCCTATTTCCAAAATAAATGCAACTTCACTTGCTGCACTCAAGATGTATGCGATTGTACTCCCTCTATATATTGTATATTTCACTCGGTATATACGATTGTAATTGTATGTGACTCAATAAATATTATGATTGGTCTTGGATAGCTATACGAACTTGCCACATAATCTTGCCAACTTCCATCTATCGCCGCTCAAAGTACAGTTTTGAAATGTTATTAATTTTTCGGTTAGGAAATAGTAGAAAGGAAATATTATTTTAAGGATATTAAATAACAATAAAACCTCGTCTTACACGGCAATTTTCTTTGAAAAATTTACAGCTATTGAAAGAAAAGAAAATGGCACTTAAGCGCTACTGTAAATTCGAAATCTGAAGCTTTTCTGCACAAAATTTTTGAGTTTTCGAAAACCTTCATTTAAAGTACTTTAACTTACAAATACAATAGTGTTTACAAATTACTGGAGAGAGATTTTTCAAAAAAATTATGTGTTATTTATGAAAAACAAAAAAACACACTGAAATTAACCTTACGTCATATTAAAGAGTGCAATTAGCACTAACCGTTCAAGAATTTAAAAAAAGAGAGCAATATAGTGTTTATGTCATCTTATAGAGTGCAATTAGCACTATCCTTACCAAAAGTTTAAAGAAAAACACTCAAAAAGTTTTTGAGAGAATCTTGTTTTTATAAATTTTTTAAATTGAACTTACTGCTCACAATATTACACGTAATATAGCTACTAAAATTTGAAGAAGATAAAAAGAACACACAACTTTATAAGTGTTTTATCTATTTTTACAAGAAATTTCAAGAAAAAAATTGGATCCATTTGAGAGATAAGTTTGAAAATGTCCAGGGGGGGGGGGGGGGGCGCCTCTTATAAAGTACCCCCGTATTTTGAAGAGAGTATTTCAAACTCGCAGAGCTTCGAGTCAGGTCCACAGGGGAATATCTATTTTCAAAAAAATCCTATGTATAGTTTACACGCTAGTGGTGTTCACAGAGGGATGGTCAGACTGACAGATGTATGTTTTGAAAAAAACACTTTTTCAGTATCCGGGTACTCTGAAACGTGTATTTCCAGTTGAAATCTCAAAATCGATTTTCCGTGGCATTACATAACTTTCCCTATACTGGATATATCTCTTCTAATAGAGAAAAGTAACAAGGTCAGGTAATTTTCTGAAAGAAAGGAAAAGAAAAAGTGCCACGTGCAAAAGAAGTACCAAACAATAGCGAAGTTTACTTTACCAACTTGAGTACTATATAGAGAGAATATTTCTGTTGTACACATACATATAGAACTTTTCAACAAACTGGTGAGGTAATTTCTTTAATGATAATTGTACATAACATGTATATTCTTTTACTTTGCATATTGCAATCCTTAAACATCAAAAATTTTATTTAGAATATGAACTTAATAAAGATTAGAAATTATCAAGGAGTTTAGGAATGTAATAGAAATCAGTAAAATTTTCAGTTCTTATAACTGCAACTAGCTGAAAATACCATGGTGTCGAAACAACAGTTTAATGGAGAATGTAGGTAAGGAATACCGGGCATTTTAGTGTTAAGACTGTTAGATTGCAACATTTTTGAAACAATTCTTTTCTCTTGATACAAAGAAAACACATTATTTAAACTTGTGCTACATTGACACCAAAAATTGTGTGTCCAGTGATGCATTATTTAAAGCAATCACAAGTTTTGTTACTTATTTGGACTGAACAAAGTTCAATTTTCTTCTCGCCCTTAATAGCACAGAATTACATTTCCAATTACTCTTAATTGTATACTTCCTCTTTATTCTTTATTTGGTGTATTATCAGCAATACAAGCAACAGTGAAGATTAAAATCTAACAGAATTATTTTCTTCCTTGCATGTAAATAAAAAACCTCAAATATTTTGGCACTTAAAATAGAAGAAGCAAAATTTGCAGCTTCTGAAAGAATTACCACTCTATTAAATCATAAGAAGTAAAAAATGGTTTAATTATATTAAAATTTAATAGGACAGAAATTTTATCCAATAACTATTTATTAAAAAACATGCATGTTAGGTTCTACATGCTTCAGCCACAAAAATCTGATTTTATATTCAGTACTTGAGATTCTTAATTTTTAAAACAAAATTAATGTATTAAAAGTGGAGATACGACATTCTCAAATAACACATATCAAATACATCATCAGTAAGAAAATATTGGAAGCCATGTGTTTGAGTATTCATATAGAACAAATAAAAAGTTTAAGAATTTTATATTAATTATTTCATTATTCAACATTTATACTTCTAGGAAATGGAAGGATAAAATGACAATATACTTTTAATGTTACACACACATTCATCCCAGTTTTCTCATTTGGAAGCTAAATATAAACACACAATGTAACATACAAAATATATTGCCAAGACAGCAAAAAAATGGCAGTATTCATTCAAGTTGCACAATTCAACTCCCGGCTAACAGAAACGACTTCTATATTACAAACAAGACATGGCTCTAATAAAATGCTAATAATTAAAAATGCATCATGATTTACATCTACAATCTCATATTTACATCTACATCAGATAAAATGATCTTGGATATGTAACATTTCTCATATGGCTGCCATTATGGAGACATACAATTCAATGTTTCAAAAACATGTATTACACTGTAATGACATGACTTGCTGTTACAGCAGTACAATTATATTAAGTAGTTCAGCACAGATGTATAAAAATATCACATATTTTACTAACTAAAGCTGCTATTCAAGATTTCTAAAAATTGAGACTCATTTACAAGCAAAACATTAACACTAAGAAATTATACTTTAGCAACCATACAACATATATACTCACATCGCAGGGCATACAGAAGGATATAAAACCAGAAATACTGCTCTATCAACTTGTGTACAATTACTGCAGTAATCATTTAAGGCAAGTATCACAATCAAAATTCATCATGTCTTGTTAAAGCTTCTCCAAAGTCTGTAGCCTGAGATCCAACAAATACATCATATTTGGCAAGAATTTCCTCTTTGGTGAGTTTCTGATCTGCATCAGAATCAGCTTCATAAATAAGATGTCGTGCTTCAGCTTCTGCATGGTCAAAATCAGGTGGAATAATCCAGTTTTTCACCTAAAATAAAATCAATAAATTGCTCATATCCATGCAATTGAACATGAAATACCATTACAACTGTCGTAATGTCCTCTTATGATACAGGAGGTAGGGAGTTATTTAGATATAGTAGGAAGCAGCTGCTGTAATCTCACTACTACTTCAGGCGAACAGCTGCTTTAAAGAATGCCTTAAAAAGAAAGTTGAACATTTTGCAGTTTTCAGAAATTCAGAGATTTTAATGAAAATCAGATACAAGTTTTCATTATTTCACTCAAAATTTCGAAAAGTAGTACAATGTTCTCAAAAAATGTTACATTATTTAAAGATTTAACTTTGACAAACAGATTTCATTACAAAACTATTGGCACTACAACATCACATACTTTCTCACATTATTTCTAACTTTTATTTGTTTTTGAAAATTCAGAGTTCAACTAAAATGAGACCTGAAACATTCTTGTAAGAGTTCCCTGTTCTAAAAAATGGGAAAAAAATTGAAGAAAAATTTTGAAGCGTTTTTGAGAATTTTTGTACTTGTACACTACCTTTTCTTTAATCTGATTTTTGTTTACAGATTCCATTTATAACAGCTATCTTTATCTGCAATATTGTTCCTTACAGTGCCCCAAAATCCCCCATTAGCCAAATCAAGATGAAAATTGGTATCTTTCTACATAACAAATAAATGCACAACAAAAAGAAAATATACAATGCATTTAAATAAACAAAAAATGTTGCTGAACATACTTACCTCCTCTTTATCCATAAATCCATCCCCATCTTTATCACGGTATTGAGCAAACTGATCTCTCTCATTTTGAACCCAATCTGGTTCTTCATCACCTTCAGAACCATGATACATATCACCAATATACTCCTTTAGAGATATTTTGCCATCGTGATCTTTGTCAATATCTTCCATTGTTTCAAGGACAACAATGTCCCTCATGTGGCCAGACTCTTCAGGATGAAGAAACCCAGCTATTTCTTCACGAGTCAATGAATCATCACCATCAATATCAGCTACACTCCAACGTCGCCTATCCCTCTTCAACATATTTTGATACGAAAATCCTTCTTCATTCTTTTCTAACTCATTTGTATCCATATCTAAAAAAAAAATTCTCGTTTTACTTCCAAGCTCATAAGAGACTTCTCAATGTTTTCTATATCAGCATTACATCTGCTATAATGTACATGGAACCTAAAAAAATTCTGATGTTAATTCCAAAAGCAAGGTTAAATGTAAATATAAAAGTAGCATATCAATTACAAAAATGACTCTTTTAGTGACTTTTGAGACTGGGTGATCTGGACTGTCCAGGTGACGTCGTGTCGAAGGCTGGGTTGCCGATGTTTTGACCATCCTGTCGTGGTCTTTCTCAGGGCTGGTATGCCCTGGTACGACAGGATGGTTGAAACGTCGGCAACCCAGCCTTGGACGCGGCGTCACCCGGACAGCCCAGATCACCCACATGACTCTGGCCGTGGAAGCCTACGACTTCGAATTTTTTAACTGTTCGCTTAAGGTGAATCACTTTCTTTTTTTTAATATTATAACATTTCAATTCAATTTTCACAAATCATCATCTTAAAAAAAATTACAACACAATAGATCAGTAAGTTGAACAAAATCACTGTCACACATTTAGTTCTTATATAAACAATCGATTTTCAATATAACCAAATAATGAAGAGCCAATTAATCACAAGTCTGTATGTTATAAAAATGTGCAACAATGCATTTGAAGTGTGTATGCCATCATAAACAATTAAATGGATGGAACTAATAGATATATTACAGGTGCAAGTTTTTATTTTATTTTTAATGAACACCATTTTCAATCAGTTTTAGTTCACATTTTCATTAGTAAAACAAATATCTGAATTAAAATTTCAATATTTAGATCAGTAACAATTATTGATGTTCCCACACTCTTTATTCTTTCAATTTTATTGTCAAATATAAGGATCTCCCTACTTTTCAAGAGAAGGGCCATACTACCAATGCTAGAGAACTGCAGCAAGCCTGAACGATTAAGAGTAATCCACTAGCACACATAAAGTGAATTTAATGAAAGTAGTGCTACAATAGTACATACTTCCTTATGATACTGATAATTTATTTATTTCATTTGTTAATGGGCAATCTGTCCAATTGTATACACAAAAAAAGTATAGTTTTACATATTATTAAGCACTTAATATCACAGTATAGAAAATCATACATAAAGAAACATTAGAAATTAAAAAAGAACTATAAAATTACAAAAATTCATTAAAAAATATATAACACATTGATTATTCAAATTTCAGTATTTTGCTCCACAATTCGCATTCAAAGTTAACGTCACTCTCAATGTAAAGATCAACATAAAATTTATCAATAACATGACAAATTCTACTGACAGAGTTATTTGCTGTGTAAAAATGCTTATAAATTCTCGACCATAAATTATTTTGTAGTTTCCTATTGCGTACAGTGGGTACCTTAAAATTAACCACATTCAGTAGAAGTGAGCAATGAATACGACCTGTCAATGATTTCCACAATAACACAACATCCCCATAGTCCCCATATGATGTACGTGAAAGTAAGTTCTGGCACAAGAAGATATCAACATATTCACGAGTTATAAAAGGGTCTTCAACCCCCATTTGATAAGCTGCAATTCTAAAGTACTTATGCTGTACGGTTTTGATCCTAGAAATAGCATTAGCAAAACATGGTGACCAAACAGTTGAAGAATACATGAAAATCAGTCTTATCAAAAACAAGTACAAAAGTTGCAGTATCTGCATAGAGTGCAGTTCCTAGCAAGTACCCTTAACAAATCCTAACAACTGATTCACCTTATTGACCATAAACTGGTGTGACCACAATTGGTCTTTAAAAAACATTCTGGAGTCCAGGATCACATCAAGATCCCTAATCGAAAACATACTATCAATAACAATACACTTAATAGCGTACTCTCCATTAATCAATCTACTCCTGGAAAATGTAATCGACTTACACTTCTCAGAATTGAAATTTAGATAATTATCCTCACACACCATTTAACAGACTTCTCTAAAACACTCTACATCTTAATTGTCATCTAATAATTTTATAACACTGAATATCTTCAAATCATCAGCGAACATTAGAAATTCCACCTCCTCAAATAGATGACAAATGTCATTGATGAACCAAAAAGAACTGCTCTAAGTGAACACCCTGAGGAACTCCAGAATTAACAATAATACGATTCAAGATAACATTCCCAATCATGTCATATTGCACACGCCCAGTTAGATATTTTTTGAATCACTCATTAAAAGGTCCACAAATAACAAAGCGTTGAAGTTTATGAAGTAGAATGGATAGGTGAACCGAATCAAAAGCCCTGCTGGATTCGTTGTAAACACTGTCAACCTGGAAAGAATCTTCCATTGCATTAAGAAAATAGAAATAATAATTCATAAGGTTTGACTACATTTCTCCCAAGCATAAAACCAAATTGTCTATCTGACAGATAGGGGTAAATAATAAATTTCAGTTTATCAAGAACACTCAGAAAGCTTTGGAATAACATTCAAAATCGTCATAAGTCTGTAATTAGAGATACATTCCCTGCTACCAGATTTAAATATTGACACTATAAACTAGAACTTCCAAGCTGTTGGAAACCTTCCATCAAGTAAAGATCTATCAAATATGATTTTAAGTAGAGAAAACTTATTTACAGTATTTTAACAAGATATTAGGGATTCCATGAAGGCCCTTTTTCTCATCCAGATCTAGCTTTTCAATCTTCTGTAACGCCAATATCAACAGTATTCACACATAATTGTATTAGTCCTCGAAAAGTATATCACCAGCTTAATTTGGATACTGTTTATAAAAAGAAGAGAAATAACGCAAATCTATCCACTATTGAGTTTAGGCCTGTATAAGGACATGAGCCCATGTCCATTGTGTCGGGCATGTGCCTACCAACCTTTCTCAAGTTAATGTATTTCCAGAATTTTTTCTTGTTGGAACTAATGTCCTGAGCAAGATTCCCATTAAAGTAAGCAAAATTTCTTCTCACCAGACGCATACATCTGCATCTCAGATTTGTAAACAAAGAGTAATATAATAAAGAGTCATATTTTATAAAATTTTGCGCTTTTTCCTGAAAATTAAATTTTTTAGTTCCCAGCTGTACCACTGAGGAAAGTTTGATTTCTTCATGAGCTTTTTAGGTACATATAGATAAAAAAAATTATATATATGAGAATCAAATAATGCAATTAAGTCATCAAAACTACAATTCGAAGATGACAACGACAAAGAATAAAATTCACACAGATATTTTTTGATCTCAGAATAATCAGCATATGCAAAATCATAGACCCATTGCTCACCATGATCTCCACTTGACAAAATGGGTATCACAAAATCTATGGATGAAGGTGGATGATAAACATCAGCTGTCACTATTTCTTCATCAGGAACTAGTTCTAAATGAGCATTTGAACCAGCAAAAATCAAATCCAAGTCTATTGTGAAACTCGAATCTCAATTATTTGAAAAAGATGTAAGAAGCTAATTGTATGAGCAAATGTGTCAGCACAATGATTACAGAATATTATAATATTGTACCTTATCACTTCAGTCTTCATTTTGAAAACCTCTAAAACAAATGGTAAAGGAGTTAAAACACACAAATCTTTTTTTTTTTCCCCTTAAAAGTTTAATGGATTGAAAGTATTATGCTCTATTCTTCACAAAACTTTTTTAAAAAAAACACATTTGTCAGGATGGAATTCAAACTTTGGCACTACTGATGCCCATGTGCCAACAGGCTCTTACAAGATATTTGTTACACATCAGGCTCCCATAATGTGTTTATTGCATTATAATATACTGTATTTACCCAAATATAAGACAAATTTTTCCAAAATATCTCGTTCAAAAACTGGGAGGTCTTGATATTCATAGATTAAGCCTACACAGTCAGGAGTGAGAAAACCAATTTTTTCAGTGTCAAGGAACACGTTTTTGTCAAAATCCTGCACTATTACAATATTCTCTCAATTCCACATAATAATAAAAATTATTATGCTAATAAAGGTCATGTATCAGAATTTGAGGGTTTTTTGATAAAACTCCTTCTCATTAACAACTAGTGTAATATAACAATATAGATGTGTAAAATTCTTCACTGATAATATTGTTAAGAATTTAACCTGATGTTGAGTGGTAAATGTGTGAAATTGTGCTTTAGTGACTCAGTGGCGTGCCTTTCACCACTGAGGTTTGATTCCCATAAAACCTCATGTGAAATTTGTTACAACAAAATGAGTTCGCATGCTTCACAGGGGCTAGTCCAACCCCTGTGAAATGTCCTAAACCCTACCTCTATCCTAATTCCTTCCCAATTCTGGCCGCTGGGAAGTGATGCAGGAGCGTATAGCAGGAGGCATGTACGTGGAGATGCAACCTGGTGGTCCTCTCAATGACTGACTGCGACGAGATGAGTCATTACATAACTGATAATGTTAATTACTGTTAATGAGGATTACTACCATAAATATAGCGCAATTATTAATGGAGGATTACTCCCAAGTGCGAAGCGCTCAATGCCCCCAGGGCTTAGTGATGCGTTGCATCAATTCAGACGCAATGAATGTGAATAAATTTTAATGATCAATTTGTGGGGTAATCACACATCGTAGGAACCCAATTTCAGTGTGAACAACTTCTTTGAACATTGTGTTCATTGCACTAGTACCAAACGCAACAGAATATTTTTCTTTTGGAACAATATTTATATTAAATCATAACAATCATTACCATCCATAAAACTGTATACTGTTTTCTTGTAGTCGTCCCAGGTTATTTTTTCCTTATTTTCAGGGTTATGAGCTTTCCACTGTCGATCAATATCATCAACAATATAACGCCTCTGAGTATACTGAATCCAATCTTTCAATTCCTCTTGTGAAACAAATCCATCAGAATTTTTATCAATTTTATCAACAATTAGCCTGTAAAAATACATAGTACAAAAAATGACTGCATTATGACTGAACCAGATGGAATCCTTAGCACAAAATCAAAATTACCCCAATCTTCTCCGACTCTCTTCTGGAGTAAGTTGATCAAAGGTTTTGGCATCATCACCAAGGAATGCTTCATGATCGTACTGGACATTGTGTTCTGAATTTTGATAATGTTCTTTGTCACTCAGCTCCTACAAAATTATAAATTAATGTTCACTTTATGAATCAAATGGTAATTTTCTGACCATGATTAATTTTAAAATGTAATCTAAATGTGTAATGTAATTGAATGAAAACAATTTCCTCAACTTTTTAAATTAACTTTTTTCAAGTTAACTAAAAACTGCAACAGTTTGAGGAAAGAAAAAATATGTACAAGGTGATTTCCATTACAAAAATTTCAAAATTGATTATTAATTATATTCTGCTTCAAATGTCCATGCAAGAGGGGGCATATTATATCAGAAATACCTATACAATTTTTTCATTAGATTTTACTTAAAATAGACATCTCGCTGGCTCAGTGTTACAAGGTTGAATGTATGACAGTGCTGCTTTCGAGAAATAGGACATTTAAGTTTTGAGCATTCTCATATCATTTTCTGTATCAAGTCTTCATACATTTTGGTTTGTTGTTCATGCAGTCGACAGACATTTTGAAAGAAAATATAATTTTTGAAAAGCAGAGGTCCTCAAAACATGTTTTTCTGACAAAATCTTGTGGGTTCTATGTTTACTTACAACTTTTTAATTCAAGAAAAGATGAAATTATACATATAACTTTAAAAAAAAAAAAAACAGCTATACTGCCCAAACCAGAGACCTCTCCCATCTTTTCATCATATTAGATCTAACTTCAAAGAACTCTGTAACATTAACAACTCAATTTATGCAATTTTCCTTACATACAACCTTGTAACATTACACCAGTGAACTGTCAAAGTCAAAAAGAAATTAATTTTTAAATGCTTTATATACTTAAATATCATTACCCAGTCTATGAAAAGCACTATGGCAGTTACAAATCTTTAAATGCTTTTAATGAAAATTGCTTTTTTTGAATTGTAGTGGTCTTTCAAACAAGATACCAAGTAAATCTATTCCATTAAAATGCAAATACAGATATACTAGTTTATACATAAAATTTTTTTAAAGTGACATGAGCAAATATAAAATCTTATAAAAATTCACCAACAATTATTCCTTTTTTGGATTTAAACACAAAAGAAATAAAATGAAATCTATGAAAACATACTCATTTTGCAAATACTCTACATTCTAGTGTATATCAAAACAACATTAATACAAGCCACCAGCATATGAGATTGCCTCAAGCTTTAAATTAAGTAATCAGCAACAAATACTCACATTAACCAACACTCTATCTTTTTTCTCCTTCTCTTCGGGTTTTGGTATAGCTACAGCAATGGATATCAGTAGCAGCAGCAAAACTGAGTAAAATGTGCGGGCGTGTCGCACTTCCCTTGGAAAAATACAATTCATTTCTGAAAACAAAAATTTTATATTTACTGTCGAAAATGACAGAAGTATTATTCTGCCGGTTTCAACACACCGAATAATTAAAAATAAAACATCACTCCAACTGACTTGATACGTTGTAATACGATTTTGGGCGTACAGTATTTTATGTCTATTAATGAATGTAAATCCAAAACGATAGTTCACTGCCCTGGTCTAAGTCAAAATACACACCCTCCTCCGTCAATTGTTACTTCCAACTCATCTCTGCAACGTCACACAATACACCATGCGCATTCTGAAAGTTAACGTCGAGGGATGTCACAGAATAACCAATTTAAAAACTCAAATTCTATGAAAACATGCATTCCCAAATTCTAGACTTCATCTTTTCCCAATTTTACTTCCCCGTATACATACGTATATTCGGAGTAATATACGAAGTATAGAGAAAGTTATGTAATGCGAAAGAAAACAGCGGATTTTCGGCAGGAAATAATTCATTGCCGGGACCTGATAACGAAAAAGAAGATAAATCCAGTTGATAATTTAAGGGAGGGAAATCCTCTAACACGTGGTGTAGCCAGAATCCCTGGTCTGTGCTATGGAGTGTGGGTCCTTGATACCGAAAAACCAATTAACAGCAAAACGTCCGTCCGTCTGTTTTTAAAAACAACTCCAAATTTTTCAAAGAAAAATTGCCATTTAGGAAGAGATTTTGCTATTTTTTAATATTCTTAAAATAATATTTTCTTTCTACTATCAGGAAATCGAAAAATTAAAAATGTACTTTAGACGGAGATAGATGGCAGCTGGCAAGAATACGTGGAAAGTCCGAATAGTTTGCTGAAACCAAAGAAGAACAACTATTACGAGGAAGTTTGTGCCATTCTATAGCCCCACTAGTTTTAAAAATACTCCTCTAATAAATTGTTCAAAATTAATACATTGGAATCTTATTCACATTATATACAATTACACTATTATATACAATTTTTGGTGCCTTGAAAAGCATGCTAACAACTTAAGAAGAAAAGTTCGTTAATAAAAAAAAATACTCAATTCTTCATTTTTACATTCAGAACACTATAAAATAAAAAAGAAACTAACATAAATGTAAATGACAAATACAAGATAAACTCATTTAGGGAAAGAGAGACGTAGGCTGCCGCGGGCTGCAGGTAGATGCGTAGCGTAGTGGGCGCGGCAGGGGGCCCGTCCCGGGCGGAACTTTTAGAGGGCGTTAAAATTTCACAATAATTAATTAATAATAATATCTTGTAAAATTTTGAACCGCTTCATTTCATATTTTTATCGCATCTACGATTCGGACCAATCGGAATGAGCCCGAAATCTTTCAGTACTTATTCTGTCACGGCTTCTTTAAATGAATGTATAATAATGACATCTTGCTCATTGCAGAGACTGACAACATCGTTAATACTGACTTGTAGGGATTCCTACACTCCCCATTTTATTTCCTTGTTGGATTGTTTATAACTAATATTCAGCGAGAATAACTTCTATCACACAAAAAATTGGGTTGAATATCGCATAATAACACCTGCAAATTAGACGTTGCACGATCGCGTGATCGCGTGGGCTCGAGACGACCGCCCACCGCCACCCGTGGAGAATGAACGGCCTCGTCTCTGCTCGACTCGACCCGCCAAAGGAGCCGCCTGCTGAAGAGCGCACCTACAGTCAGAACAACACAGTTGTCTCGCTCGGCACAAACCCGAAATTGCGACGTACAAGCCCATAAGCCTACTAAACACGCTCGGAAAACTCTGTGAAAAACTAATTCAAAATAATTCTCAAATATGTTTCAGATAATTCACTCTTAAATAAGGAGCAGTTTGGCTTTCGCGCGGGACATAGCACAACCCATCAGCTTGTGCGAATCACTGACCGCATAAGACGCAACTTCGAGGGCCGATTTACAGGTAGTGTTCCTCGACATTGCCAGCGCCTTTGACAAGGTCTGACACGTCGGTCTCCTTTACAAACTCCATTCCATGAACTTTCCTGTATACCTTGTGCACCTCATCCACTCTTACCTAGCAAACAGAACGTTCCAAGTGACGCTTCTGAATGCTAAATCTACCCGCCGCGCCATACGCGCTGGAGTGCTGCAAGGGAGCGTGATTGCTCCTACCCTCTTCAACCTCTATGTGCGTGATGTTTCCACCCACCCTCAAACGGAGCTCGCCTTGTACGCCGACAATACGGCTGTAATAGCTACGTCGAAAAGATCGAGCTTCCCCAGAAGTACTTGGATCAGCATTTACTACTGATCCAGTAGTGGCTGAAGTTGTGGCGGGTCAAAGTCAAGGTGAGTAAGTGTGCAGCTGTACTCTTCACACGGAGACTGCGATTCACGCAGTCAAGGCCGCTCGCGCTATGCGGAGACTGATTAATTGGGCAAAACATGTCAAATATTTAGGTGTTACATTAGACAGCCCACTTACATCTACACATCGAAAATGAGCGAAAGAAAACGCGACAGAACCGAGGCAGATTATGAAGCTTGTTTCACAAGCAGAGCAAACTGCCAACGGCAAACTGCCTCACGCGTTGTAAAGCAATAATTATGCCGCAAATGGACTACGCATGCCCCAGTTGGGCAATTGCAGCAACTACTCATCTGAATAAACTGCAAGTAGTTCAAAACGAATGTCTCAGGGCTGCCCTCTGCGTCCCTAGAAACATTCGCATCGAAAATATACATCGCGATTCATCAATGTCACTGCTGATAGATTGTGTCAAAAACATCGTTATTTTTTTTAAACAGCTAACTCAGAAAACCCTCTCATTTCCAAGACCGCTTCATACCAACCTCAGCGGGCCACGTGTAGGCGTCCGAAACAGTTCCCGGAGTAAGAGTAATCTGAAACAGAGAAATGAGACTTGAAACATAAACTTAGTAATTCCACACACGCAATGTGCGCACCAGTCGGCTAAAGTCATTTTTGACCTCCTTTTTTTCTTAATGTTGCAGGATTGGCCATAGATGCCCGTAAGGGGCCGCACCGTCTCACCGCAGTGGCGTGAACGTTCATTGCACTTTCCGTGCGTTCACAAAACTGCACAAAGGAGTCTTGGGACTCACGGATAACGCTTCTTAGTTTCCTCGCAGTAATACTACAAAATCTTGCCCGCTCAGCTGTCACGGATTGCTGAGTGCACGAGGTGCTCCGAAGAGTTCGGGCACGGCTGAGAGGTTCTCTACCACTGTAGGGCAATGGTGTATCTACTAGGGCACGTCACATGCCAAGTTGCGAGTCGGCATAGTTGACTTCGCTGGCGCCGCCGCACCGCCGCAAGGCGCGTGTATATTATAGAGAGACTGAAGACAGTTAACCCTGATAAACGCCTCAGAGTGACATGTATGTATGTATTGTAAATACTGATGCAAAATAAACTGTATATAGCCGACTCGTGTCTGTGTTTTTGTGTACTCAAGAAAGAAAGAAAGAAAGAAAGAAAGAAAGAAAGAAAGAAAGAAAGAAAGAAAGAAAGAAAGAAAAAGATGGAACAGAATAAAGGAAAAAATAAGAAAAGAAAAAGAACAACGAAAAAGTGATCGAAATGAAGATAAGATAATTAATGAGCAATGTAAAAAAGATGAGTGGGGAAAATTGAGGAAAAAATCAGAGAAAGAAAATAGGAAAGGTCAGCAAAAACGTTACAATACTAGAAAGAATAGGAATCTAAGATGAATATAAAAATGGAAACGCGCGAGAAGAAATGAGTGTACAGGAAACAAATTTTAATGGAACAAAAGAAACTCTTAGAAAGGAAGACGAACCTACTGTAATGGTCGAAATTAACCACCCACTTCATCAACACACACATCCACCTTAAATGAAGCAACCATGCTCAGAAGTTCTTCTATTGTGCGGTTGCAAGTCGCATACAAAACAAAATTATCCTTGTGAATTATGCGAAGAAAGCATTCATTCATGTGATTAACGAAGAAAGCGATTGTGATTGGTATGCTCATGGAATGTTTTTGAATTATTATATATTAGATGTTATCTACTATCTAAGAGTAGTTAGATTTTTTCTTATCCCTGTCTTCGAAACAGCCAAACTGTTTTTGTTGGAACAAATTTCACATGAGATTGTCCGGGATTCGAACACGGCCTCCTAGGTGAAAGGCGAGCAACTTCCCTTTGATCCACCAGATGACGCATTTCTTATTCCATGCCTAAAACTAGCCTCATTTATGTGATTTGTAAAATGAACTAACTTTAAAAATGTACTCATGAATAGTTGAGAGTTTTCATTCTTCATTTTTGAAATAAATAATAGATGTTTTGAGAGTGCAAAAGAATGTTTTCTCGAGGCAGCATGCAAGCCGCTTTCGAGAGTATGAAAAGCGCGCCCACCGGATATCACATGTCGAAACCCCTTAGAGAATTTTATTGTTTATTTGATGTTCACAAAATTTTAATTTTTCCTTTTCTTTCTTTTCTGTCAGTCTTTCATCTCGATTTTTCAATCATTTAATTCTGTGCCTTGTTAATACTTATCATAACTTCCTTGAAAAGATGTGTAGAAGTAATATTAACATTTTTCCTTTCAAATTAAACCTGGAGGTTCAGATCATCATAATTTTGATGATCTGAAGATAGAAGTAAATTCGACCTCCTGAAACGTCTACCAATATAATAAAAGACAATGCTAATTAACGATTGTTTGGTAATAATATTTAAATGCTTGTCTAAAGAAGCAAAGGAAGTTACACTTTATGTAAGTCCTGATTGATATTGTTTGAAACATGTGCCCCAAGTATTATGAACATCATCATCATCATCATTATTATTATTATTATTATTATTATTATTATTATTATTATTATTATTATTATTTTGTTTTTATTATTTTGTTTTTATTATTGTTGTTGTTCGGCAGGTCGTGGGGTGGGTCCGACTTGTCTTGCCTAAAAAACTGTTCCTGACACGCCCACTAACTTGTATTATTTGTATACAATTTCTAAATTTCTTAAATTTCCTAATCGATTGTGAAATTGGGAGAACGAATTGCCCTAAAGCTCTCTGCTATTGCAAAGATAAAATTGTACATTCAAAAATCGCGCTAATGACTGCGATACTTGGCAGTACTGGACAGAAAGAAATGTTTGAAACTCAATTTATGAACACATAGTGGCGCTAGTGTGGAAGTTTATGTTCAAAGAGTATAGGTCTGGTTTGGGTTTTGTGTAAACCTGTGCTCACTCCGTACGGGTTGCCATCTTTAATTTCCTTCTTATTCTCTGAGCTAAAGGTTGGCGAAGCGGCCAAAGGCTGAAGGGTTAGTAGTACAATATTGTTTGAAGTTTTTATTGAATCAAAACATTTAAACATTGTTTAAGCTTTTAATTTTGGGTATTATTTGCGTTTTCTTGAGTACGGAATAATAAATGTTATAAATTGTGATAAGTACCGTTTTGGGGCCACGTGTTTGAAGGTGATTGAAAACTTGTGTAATTCATTAACTTTCAGACCTTCATCATGACGAACTCTAAGGGTTATCGCCGTGGAACGAGAGATTTATTCTCTCGGAAATTCCGTCGGAGTGGGACCATTCCACTTGCGACGTATATGCACGTCTACAAAGTTGGAGATTATGTAGACATTAAAGTATGTTTTTGCCGTTGTGCATTTTAAGTATGCCCCCTAGAAATCTTTATGACAAATTTTTGTTTTGCTTTTTAGGGCAATGGTGCTGTGCAGAAAGGAATGCCCTTTAAATTTTATCATGGGAAAACTGGTCGAGTTTTCAATGTGACTCCTCATGCTGTTGGTGTCATTGTCAACAAGCGAGTGAGAGGCAGGATCATTGCCAAGAGGTAATACTTTCCACTTTTACTTTACATGTACTGTTTGGACAGGCAGACTTTTGTAAGCTTTAAAAACAAATTTCATATACACATTCAAGAAGTCTAAAAACCAATGAAAATCTTAAAGATTTCATTCAGTAATATAGAAAAGTTCATTATTATTGCAAATTGTTAAAACTCTGTGAAGATTGCTTGGAAATCTGCTGTGCACCTGAAAAACTATCTTGTTAGGGGCGAATTAGACCATTTCTTTGAATATTATTATGTTATAGTAGTATAAGTTAATTTCTTCAATTTCTCATGTCTAATGCATAATCGAGTATGTGGTTGATGCTTAGTTTAGGGTGGCATGTTGCTTGTGATTCCTTAGTTCAATGGTCTGGTTCCCTTGAAGTTCCCTTCGGTGTTAGTAATTTAGCTGGCGAGAAATCTTGCCATTGAAAATTAATTGGCATGACAATGTGACGGGAACCAAGCGTATGAACAGTGATCAATGAAAATCGCCTATCTGCAAGTTTTATTATTTTCTATCAGAGAATGTAGCTTAATTTGAGGGAGGGGTAAAAGTCTCTCACACACACACCGCCAAGCTTCTGAGTGTGTACAATGTACCCTATTTTAACTGAACTTAACTAGTTATTTTTTTTATTTCTTAATAATTCATTAAACTTCAAATAATTAAATATAAAAAGTATACATTTTTTCAGAAATAAGTAGATTTGAGGCACTTTGATGAATCATTGAAGTTTTTTCATGTTATAAGGATGTTCTATATGATTAGTGCAGACACACTACACTAGTTGTAAGTATTATTATAGTAACGGTAATACTATTAAAATTTTACAATTTCAACGAATGCGAGTTAATTTTTTTCTGTTAAAATACTGTTATCTATAACGCATTAAATGTATTTGTTTAAAAAATAGAAGAGTTGGTTTTTAGTATTAAAATGAGTTTGGTCCGCAGTATCTTTCCAACAAGAATAGTTTAAGTAGCATGCATTTGTGAAATATAATTTATTTTAAATGTTTATTGCGTTAACATTACAAAACAGCTATCTTGACTAGATTTTTAGTGTTAAAGTGGTGGGGATGTTGGGGTTGATAGCCCCTACCCTCCTAATAAAATTTTAAGTAGCATATGTTCATGAATTTAAAAAAAAATTTATGTGAAAGTGACATCCAATAATATTAAGAACTTTACGAGATGCAACTAGTAAGTACAAAGAAGGATGCAGTTCATGGAATCACTTCCTCTAATGGAGTGAATCAGTGATTCAAGGGAGCCTTGCCACCCTTAACTGAGGATTTACAGAGTATGTTTATATTGACACTCATTGCAAAGCTGGAGATTTGAGACTGCATCCTTACTATAGTTACTATAGAGTAAATTGGAAAGATTTTGGCTGAGTTTTTCCAAAACTGATTCGGATTGTGCTTCAACATTCTTTTTAATTTGTCTAGTGTAATATTTGTGCAACAGGTAGGTTACCCTAAAGGTAAACATTATTCATGTTTATGACTAGTAATATATTTCTTCTTTGCCTATTTGAACTGCTAACATGAAATTTGAATATTTTTTTTGTTACAATTTCATTGTTAAAAGTAGTGTTTGGTTGATGTTGGTTAATCATCATAGTTTTTCAGGTTTAGGTGATTTGTTTAGTTATCGTAATATGAAACCTTTTGCTTTCCATTTGACTTAGACTTGTCTTTGAATTTAACATCTCTTTTTCAGTAGGTAAGAGACGTTATCACTTTAGCAGGTAGGGATGTTTGTTAGTTGACTAGATGTTACATAGATTCATGGTTGTGTTCAAACTGGCTATTAGAAAAATTGATGCGCCATTAGTGGAATCCGTGTTCTTGACTGGGAAATGAATATAGAAGTGTCAATTTGACCACAAAAGTAATGTGGCATAAAAATAGTGATAATTCATGTTCAAAGTGAAAGAAATGTGCACTGTTATGTAGATTTTTCACTTGTGAGACTCAAAGGGTCTATGTGACTCAAGTGCTGAATGAGTAAGTTCTTATAATCTTTCAGTGAGCACAAGTGGAGACACTCTGCTCTATCCATCTTCCCTCTTTTTACTTTCTTGCTACAGAGTAGAGAGAAAGTTGTGTAATGCTCCATGAAAAATAGCTAATTTTCAGCAGAAAATCTCTCATTGCCTGGTAACAAAAAGTGAATAAATCGTGATGGTAAATTTAAAGAAGAAAATCCTCCAACACATGGTGTATCCAGAATACGTTTTGTGTGTCCTTGATACCAAAATACCAAATGTCTGCCTCTGTCCATCTGTAAACATTATTGCCAGCTAAACCATTCAGCCGATTTTCTCCATAACTGATATTCCCCAATCGATTTGGTTGATGTCTTGAACCCTTGAATTTGAAACTGATAATTTAATTTTGGGCGCAGAAGCATGAAGCTCCTGAAACATTTTCAAATTTTTCAAAAAAGGTGCCAAATTTTTTTATTAAATTTCATTGTTGGATAATGTGGAGGAAGTTTTAGAAAATGATGCATTGTTCAAAAATGAAAAAAATTGAATTTTTTCAGTCTTCCTACAACTACCATTATGAAGATGTTTTCCTTTAATGAAATCTGTTCCTTAAGGGCAGAATTTGAAATAAGCTTGTGTAAAATTTTTCAAAAATTTGTGTCCTTTTTGTGTAATTTGGCATTGAAGTACAGGCAAGAAAGTACGTACTGTTGTAGCCTCTAGTTTTTGTTTCTTCTCTCTTTTCCCCTTAATTACTATTGGCACTCTAATAGTGCACTGGATGCTCTACTTTAACTTTATTCTCAGTTTCAAGGGGAGAACAAATTTTGCAATAAGAAAAAATCACTTTAGTCTCACTGATCGTTAAAAGAACGTATGAAGAAAAAAAAACATTGAAACTGCTACCAATGCATCATGCATCACACTTGATTAATTGATGACACTTATGATAAATTGCGATTTAGCTCTCTTCTCTTCTTCCTTTTTTTTTTCGTTCTTTTTTCTTCCCATCAACTGGGCATAACAATTTCTTCAGAAATTAAATATTTTGTCAGGTAATGATTTATTCCATTTCACATGTAGCTAAACTTTGTCATATATATGTTCTTGATACTCTTAAATCCAAATTTTCATATCATTTCATATTCAGTTATGCGAGTGATTATTTTGACTCCAACTTCAATCATATGGACAGAGGACGAGCAATAAGATTAATTTATTTCACAAATGTTGGCTAACTTCTAATTGGGTATGGTTCTACCTATTGTTTTATTTCTCCATCTGGAGAATATGTATTTCTGTAGATAAAATGCAAGATAAGGACAGTTTGTAGTTTGTAATTAAAGGAATGATTTGTCACAGAACACAGATTTGTCTTTAAGTCAGTATGTTGCAAGTGTCTGGTGGAAGTGAACAGCACTGTAATTTATATTTGGCAAATGGGCTGCTTATCTTCGATAATGCCTTGTCCCGCTTTTAAATTTCTTTAACAAAGAATTAATGTTAATATTCTCACATGCTTTTCAACGTAATTTGTGTTCATTCTCACAAGATTATATTTAGTGACCATCAAAACAAATTCAATTTGGTATAGGAACTTTTGCCAACATTAAACTGCGTTCATTAACTGGTATTAACGATGTCTCAGGTGTTAACACTAACTGAACAAAGTTGTTTCAGAGCTTGTTACTATTGTCTTATTTAAATGTTTAATGATATTTTTTTTTGTTATAGAATTCATGTTCGTATTGAGCACATTTCCCACTCTCAGTGCCGAACTGATTTTCTGAAAAGAGTAAAGGAGAATGAAGCAAAACGTAAAGAAGCCAAGGAAAAGGGTGTTTTCTTTAATCTGAAGAGACAGGTAAGCATTTTCACAATTGATTTTAACACTTCAGTTTTATTGCAATAAAAACTAATAGCATTCAATTTGAAATATTTAATTAAACTTCTCCTTTCAGCCTGCCCAGCCTAGATCTGCGCATGTTGTGCTTGGGAAACAAGAACCCGTTTTACTGGCACCTATTGCTTATGAGTTTGTGGCATAAATGTAAATGTATCTTTAAATAAAAATGATTTTGAAATTTAAATGTTTCAATGAATTTAGTCTTTGTAAAAATTAGTTCCCAAGTACTATTTGGTCCTTCACATGTGATAATAAACTTAATGAATTGATATTCAAACAGTAAGATTTCTGCCTCAAGATTCATTAATAAGGTTAGAGCATTGAGTCAAAAAAATATACTGTTATGTAAGCTAAGGATAAAAGCTTTTAAAAATAGTCAATTTTATGTGGACTTTGCAAAGTATTGAAGTTGTGAAAGTATATACATTGAAGATAAAAATAGGAATTGTTGGAGTAGGGTATTTTTGCTGCAGTTGACCAAGGGTTAGGGTGATAAATAGAAATTTTACCAGAAAGTTAATAATGTAATAAAGTCATAAATGTGTGGAATCCAATGTTACAGATATCTAGCCATCAATTAAAACTTAATAATTCCTTGATGGGAAGTAGTGAAATACGATGTTCAGAAGCATGAGGATGAAAGAAAATGAGTTTGTTTTTAAATGCAAGGTGAATTGAAAGCAATAAACTGGAATGTGATTATCCTGTCAGGCGCTTCATTACAACGTAAATTTTTGAAGATCCTGATTGAAAAACTGTATTCCAGCTGATCAAAAGTAAATTCTTCCTATAAATTGGAGTATAGTTATTTTTTTCTGAGATAGTTGAATTTAAAATTTATCATAAAGATTGGGCACAACCTATGTTTAGGTTATGGTCTTTGTGATCTTTTTATGTAATTGCGATTACTTTCTGGCAAAAAAAATATTTTTTAAAGCTTACCGTAAAGATTAATCCATGCAGTGAAAAAGGAAGTGTAAGGGACAAACTGATATCTTGCACAGTGCTTAATTCAATTTTAATAAAATTAATGCACAAAATTGAAGGTGAGTACATATGGGTATATAAAATAGACTATGCTTTTATGAATCAGGTAATTAATTGATGAGATGTATTATCTACTATTTCTGTTGCTCAATGTGATAATTTCTCAAGCAGAAAAAAAATTGTTATAGTAATGAACTTATTACAGCGTAACTGATATACAATGATTACTTAATCAGCGTTTTCATTTGTACATCCCTTGCACACTTATCTTCATAAACACTAAATAAAATAGGTTCATCTTCATTCATTCATTTTTACTGCTTTCAGTATCCAATTCATTTGTCAGCTGTTCCTGTTAGGACTGAGACTTGTTGAGCAGGAGCATGAGGATGTTCCTATACTTTTAAAAAAAAATTTCTCTTCACTTACTGATGTAAAACTGGAGGGTCTTTTACTTCATATATTCTAAAGTATTTGGCTCAGAGTAGTGGTTTAGGTAAAAGTGTGCTGACTAGCCTTTCCTCGAGAAAGTCAAGTGAATCCTATTCAATGAATACTTATAAAATGTGAATTAAATCTTTTGATTACCTTACTTATGCCATCCTGTTTACTTTCCCACTACTGCTTATGCAGTAGAACGTTATGTAATGCTGTGCCAAAAAACTGAATTTTTGACAAAAACTCTTATTACCCTATTGACGAAAAAGTGGGTAAATCCACTTGCTAAATTTAGAAAAAGTCCGTTAACATGTGGTGTAGCCAGTCCATGTTTTGTGGGTCCTGGATACCAAAAATCAATTGACGACAGAACGTCTGACCATCTGTGAACAATGCTAGAGGCTAAACTGTTCAGCCAATGTTCTCCAAAATTGATATTTCCAATCACTGTGGATGGTATCGTGACCTGTTGAATTTGAAACGATTATAATTTTGGGGGGGTTCATTTTTGAAAATTGCAATAGTACAAAAATTTTTCTGCTTCTGCCTTTTAGTTATGAAGATAGAGATTTTTTTCCCTTAATGAAATATGTTCCTTAAAGATGGATTTTGAAATAAAGTTATGAAGGATATTTTAAAAATGTGAGTTTTACAAATAATTACGGAAATGTGTTAAATTGGTGAGATATTGATGTGTAAATAGTATTACATAAGCATTACTAAATGCGAGCAACTATGTACTGTCATAGCTCCTAGTATATTACAGTATTACATGGATAATTTATTCAATACTATGTTCTACACTTAATGCAACTGTCAAGTAAATAAGAATTTTCTTTTATTCTGTGAGAATGATTGTGCGTTTGTAAACAAGAAAACTAGGGACTTATCACTTATTGTTGGTCAACCTGACACAATTGTCGTCCAAAAGAAACAAATCTTGAAAGCAGTTGAACTTCCTATCACCAGAAGTCAGCTCATCTAATGGGTGGTGCTTTCCTTTAACAGTATTTAGGCCTGTGTCACATGAGCGTTGCATTGACACACAATAAGTAACGTCATAGATTAACATTGTTTCTTATGTGAAACAGCACACTCTTGTGCTGTTTGGTATAAGTTTTTGTGTTATTCTACAATGCGCATCAACAAAACATTAATGTGCAGGGAGCTGTTAGAACCTAGGTTTCAAATATGAACTTATTCATTCTTATTCTCAAACATGTTAATATTCTTCAGAATTCCACATGTTCATCTGAGCCTTACAAAGATGAGAATGAGCTTAGAAATAAATTATTTAAATGTTTTCTATGATAAGATTGCTGATTTTCATCTCAAATATAATGAAAGTAATATTCCTTTTTTTTCTAGTCTTTTCTTTGTAATGGTGAGAAGGTAAACAAAAATTTAATAGGCTCTTAAAGTCCTTTACATCCATCCTTGTGCAAATTAGTGAATGGACACAACTACAAACTGAAAGAGCAGATTGATAATCTACTTGTAGCACATAATAATAGAAGCCATAGAAACCAGAAGTTAAGTAGAGGAGAATAGACCAGGAAAAAAGGGTGTAAACCATGTGGACAGTTTATTGTAATGATACGTTGAAGTAAATTTGGAAGGTTTATCATCAATTACTTTTTTAGCATGGACAGTGAATAACTGGTGACAATTATCGGAATTACCCGCGCCTATTTCCGAGAATTTAAGTGACGGGGGAAGTTACCGGGGGCGGCTTCGCCGCTGGCGCCGTGACAACCAATAAAAATAGACGATGCGGG